TTGCTTTAAATGAAGAAGAGACTGCTTAGAATAATTTATTCCTATTAAGAATTGTGAGATATATTCTTCTAAGTAGTTGTGTTTTATACAGATGCAGAACCAGTCCTCTACATGCTTAGATCACTGGAAGTAAAACAGCTGACACCGTTGAGTTGCTATCTTTCCTGAAAGTTGTCTATTTGCCAACAAAGCCTTTGCAGGGTATTAAAGCTGCAGAACTAAGATTATGTGAAATTTACAATTTTAAATCCCAGCTTTGACATTTTATTAACATTGTTACACATGAATCAAGTTTTAATATACTGTATGATAGGGTACATGAAGCTGTCCTTTGTATATTCACTTGAGTTCTTGGGCATAGTTGGCATAGAAAGTTAATATTGTAACATTAATAAATATAGAAATGTTCATGACCTCTGGAGTCTAATGAATATATAAACATACATGTTCTGATGCCATGCATCACTTCAGTGTGGCAAATACATGATCATGGTGTTGAAATATAGGGCTGTAATCTTATGCATGTTATAAGAAAAAGTTCCACTGAGTTCATTCATAGATATGCATTGAATTGGCTGTTGCAAAGTATTGGTGGCCCATAAGTAACTTGAAATGTGTGGTTATCATCTACCTCACTCTGTATGTCACTGCTAGCAACACCACTAATATCAAGTGGCAAAAAAAATTGTACTGTTTGTTCTTTAAGAGGAAACAACACTGCTAAAGTTGATAGCTTTTCATCTTGATCTCAGATACTTGTTATTAGTGAACATGCTTTCATTGAAATATTACACCATTGAATTAAAGTCAAAACTTTCAAAAGAAAATGGAGCTCTAGTGTGAACAAAGTACATATTTTATATTGAAGAATTATTCCTTGAGATTGTCTTAATTTTGGGAGCTCATACACGTGAATGGTTTATGACTTCATGCACTCTGAAGTTCTGCATCTTATTGATCCTAACAAATATATATGCTAATATATACTTCTGTTACACAATTGCTTTGTGATCCATGGGCAAAATGACTAATTATAAAGAAACAAACTAAGGTGATCTGAATGCAAATGAGTATTCTTTTAGTTCAGATATCTATTGTGAGCTGATTAAAATAAATGATAGGTTGAAGAAAACAATCCCAGTTTTTAACATTTTGACTTTGAAGTTCAGAGTATTTGATTCATGGTACTTCTGAAATCATAGTTAGCAAACAAAACAAGTTCATTCTGAATTGGTATTTAGGTTCATTGCTATTCTATGAATGCCCAGAAAAACTGAATACCCCTGGAAGACCATGTACATATTTTTAATTTGACTGTAACTAGCTGCATAACAGTGATTTATGCTTTTTAAATGAAAGCAGTGTCTATGTTCCTAGTCAAACAAATATGAACTATAATTTAGCAAGGTCTTAACAGTCATCTTCAGACAAGGGAATCTAAGGGACACAAAAACTATTTACATAAACTATAGCACAGAATATAGGATAATAAAACTTTTATTTGAGCAGCTTTTTTCTGCTCTTGCCAGCACATTTTTTATATCTCGATATATTTTACTGGTAATAAAAACAGTAACTTTGGAGGTACTGTTCGTTCAGTAAAAGCATTAGGACTTCCCAAGAACATTTTTTCAGGCTTCTATATAGATCCTAAAATGTACACTTATAATTCAAGACATATGCAGATGTGACTTTAATAGCAATGCCTACATCCATCTAGGGTATACTCAATTGTACCATGCTATTTAGCTTGTGTACCTGTTCAAGGTATGTTGGCAGTCATAGTTGAATAGGGATCAAGAGATACAAACTTCAAGCTACATAGATCCAATCAGAGATAACTCATGTTATCTCAAGAACTTAGTCTTGGACTGAGACTAAGTCATACTGAATTCAAATCCAACGTGTTGTCAATGAATAGGCTGTGACCTTAACACTATTTTCAGTTATCAGGTACAGTAAAAACACTGTACACAGCATGTCTTCTATATGCTCATTTCAGTACTTTGAATTATTCAAGGTGAATATTCATATTTTAACAGATGGGATGCTGAAAGCAGCTTAGTTTCAGACAATCCAACTGTTTTTGGATAAATTGCTTACAGCAAATCAACTATAGAGACAACTGATCAGACTACTTTCAAAAGCCGTTTTTAGACAAAATAGAGCAATAATTGACCTGCAAAATAAACTCTTTAAAATAGACTTCCTATGTCCACTTCTCCAAAAGAAACATTTATAGTAAATGCTATTAATTTGAATATGCTGCTCTTTACATCTGTATTGGGTATTACAAGTAGCTAAAAAAATTTGTTTAAAAAAGAACAATGTGAATTAAAATTGGTAAGAAAAAACCATTAACAATAAAGAATGTGATGAAGTGTGTATGTACCAAAATTTGGGAGCAATGCAGGAAAAAGTCTTTCTCATGAGCAAAGGCAAGCTACATCTCTGAGTGATGTGTTTAAAAATGACTGGGGGAGTGTGTCCCAATCTTAACCGAATGAGTTTGTAATGCGAACAGCAGAGATCCTAAGCCCGTGATGGCAAACCTATGGCACGCAGCGCCCTCTCTGTGGGCACGTGAGCTGTTGCCCCAGCTCAGCTCTGCTGCGCATGTGCACATGCCTCCCCTGGCCAGCTGGTCTTTGAGTCTCTGCTGCGCATGCATGGGGGGCAGGGAGCATGCGCGGGGCTTTGCAGGCCCCACATGCATGGGGGGCAGGGCACATGCATGGAGGCCGCATGCGCATTGCATTTTGGGGGTTTGGGCGTGCGCGTGTGTGCATTAGGCACTCAGTCCAAAAAAGGTTAGCCATCACTGTTCTAAGCCATTTGGGACTTTAAGAATTAATAGCAGCCCTTTAAATTATACTTGGCAAACAGTTGGTAACCAGTGCCAGTAGTTTATGAACTTTGTACCTTGCATAATTTGGCAATCTGCCTGTTTGATTTTGCACCAACTGAAATGTTTGGATACTTCAAGGGTAGCCCACAGTATGTTATTGCAACAGTCACAATAGAATGTAACCAGTGCATGGACAACTTGTAAAAATCTAATATTGAAAGGTATTATAATAAATATAATTGTGCAAAGATTCCTCCGCATCTGCAAATTCAGTGGGATTTAGGAATCAAAGCGGCATTTATTAACTACATGTTTTCACTTGGACTGCAATCTTATCAAATACAGCATATATCTCAGTCTCAGAAGCCAGGTCATCTTTTTAACCAACAGTAACATTTACCTATTATCAAACTTAGGTAATCTTCAAAGTTACCAGACGCTTGCTTAGAATCGGAGTGTACAAGGAGTAACATCAGCCTAGCAATGACATCTGACATCAGAATTCTAGAAAATACTCCCCTATGAAATTCAAATTCATATAGAATGGGGTACAAAATTAGATTCAAGTCAAGATAATGGGAACACAAATTAGTACTACCATCTGGATATTATTTGTCAAGAAAACTGGAAGCATTGTAAAACAATACCAAACCTCAATCCTCAGGCAGTCCACAAAGTTCTTTCATTATCTTATCTTGTCAAAAGCCCAATTGAAATGGATCCACGAAACAATTATAATTCAAATGCCACTGACCTTAACTGCCTTCTTTGGAATAGGGAAATATAAGGAGATAATGATTATTTCTGCTACTATGGGTTTATTATGGCCATTTAAATCAGCCCAGAAAACCGAAAATTTCATAATTAGGTGATGGCCCTTATAATTTTGCACCTTCTGTCTACTTCCTTAAAATCTACAATCTGAAAGAAATCCAAAATAGTTGTCAATAGAATCTGCCCAAGTTCTACAGTCCTACATAATATCATGGTGGAGACTAACTGCTTAATGTGGAAAAACAGTATCAGACACTTTCTGGGGAGACAAAAACAACCTGGTTGCCTGTACCTATTGCAGAGTTAAGATTTCAGATGGGTTTCACTCTATATGATCTGACCCATTCTAAGACCATAGCCAATTAATTTCATTACTTAATAAATCAAGACGATCACTTGGCTCCAAGAAGGGGATGCAAATGCTTAAGACAATGTCAACTGCCCAGGGAGTTTCCCCGTTCATGTTAAAAAACTTACATTCTGGAAATTAACCATAAACATTCCCATAAATTAATATAACCATATATTGATTCATTTGTACATACAGGATTAAAATTCTAGAGAGGTTAAAATACTAAATAGTTTCTAACATACAATGAGATAGGAATAAAAGGATAGTGAGAAGGTTCTGTGAAGCAAAGGACAAGAATCTGCTTTGGAATAGTTGCTTACTATAAAAAAATACAATTTGTCTACAAAATTGCTCTGCACAAAAATGGTAGAATTCTGGATTGTACCACTTCAGATACCAGGCATTATGCAGTGCGTTTTGAATATTGTTGTGCTAGCTCCCTACAAATAGAAAGGTGAAGCATAAATGAGAGTATTGCAGTGAATCTATCTTTGATATACTTTAGAATATAAAAAATACAATAAAGATTGAAGATCTATTCAATCTGCAGTGAGATATGATAGACTAGAACTCCTGTTACATTTATTCTCATGGATGCATAGAATGCCTCTTCATTTTAGGAGCAAAATGAAAAAGGGTAAAACTTCAGATTATCTGGCCATAAACATGCTGATGTACTTCAGATAAAAGGCTGTTATTAAAATGCAAAAATTAACATTTGTAACATTTGTTCCACCAAAATGGAAATTATAATGGATTTCACTGAAATTACTTAGTTTTACAAAAATGTAGAAAACTTGTCAAGTGGCAAATCCAAGAATATGAAGAAGTTTGAAACCATTGTATCAAATACAGCATCGGAAATTAGATTATGTTTGTTTTCTAAGCTACAAGACAATACTTCCCTACTTCACAGGGATGTTGTGAGATTGACTTCAGCTTTATACAGTGTTTTTGAGTTTTCCAATGCAGGTGCTATAAAAGTACAGGGTGTAATTAAACTTGCTGAAATTTGTCACAAAAAGAAAATATTTAACTTGGTTTTATTTAACAGTATTTTACCACTACTATAGTAAAGTTCTTTACACATATATTAATGATAATGTAATAATGAACTTTCCAAAAAGGCATGGTTGAGTTTTCAAACTTTATACATCTCTTTTTGGTTCTGTGTGATTAACTGTGCAGATATAATTGTATTAATAAGGTTCTTGGGATTTGCATGGATGAGACGAATTATCATTTTTGTACTCTCTCTGAATGAATAAACTTACATTCAGTTTGTTATTCTTTTTGTAGAAATCTTCTGTTATGCTCTTTCAAGACAAAAGTAATGTTATCTTCATCAATTATATTGCCTGAGAAAAGATCCTTGTATCAATTAGCAACTATTCAATATTACATCAAATCTGTTGTTTATTTACTGTAGATACCAGGTAGTTTCTTTAAAAACAAAACTAGCAAACATCAGGTTGAGAGTTAGTTTTACTATTAAAGAATGTAATCTAAATTTCCAAGTTTCCAAATACTGAAATTCTGTTTTTTTTCTCATTTGCACTTTTTTGAAATCATTTTTGAAAAGCGAAAACCCAATAGAATTTTGAAAGGAGACAGTGAATGATCTCCTTCGTTTCTGCAAAGTAGCTGATACTTGAAATCTTGCTATTTCCACTACTGCTAATGATATAAATGAATAGAAGTCCAATTTAAACTGTCTCAGATGTGGCTGATACTTTCTGCATACAGATTCCTTATTAAAACATTGATTTAACAAATGAAAGAACTGGGAGAATACTTTAAATGTCAAAATTAGAGCTTTATAATTTATAAGCCAAGTTATTTGGAAACGAAATAAAGTCTGAAATTTTGGTTAGGCAATTCTGAATTCTGTTTAACTTTAAAAATCAGATGACCCTTGGTCTAGAAGATAATGTTCTATCTTTTTAGAGAAGCTTAACCATTCTCTCCATTGAAAAGAAAATCCTGCTAACGCTAAAGTGCATGTTTTTAGAAAAGGAAAGATGAAATATAAAAGCAGGAAAAACTTCAATGGGGCTATGTCCTTTCCTAATATAAACTGATATAGCAACCTATATAAATGTTATATAACATTATATAATTGTCTTGTGGAAACCAATAAGAAAAGACAAACACAGGCAAAAGTTACATTAGGTGGCCTCCTCCAAACCTCTAATAAAAGTTGCAGAAGTTTACTTTTGAAAAAGTTGCAGTTATTATTTCTTGAAATCCAAGACACACAAAAATATAACGAAAATTAATATCTTTTATCTTGAAAAGGAAAACAAATAGAAATAGAAATTTTATATTTTCAGATTAGTTGCCTCAGTGGATTCTGGACCTCTTTGCTGTATGCTTTGCTTCAGCAGCTTTACGTTTTTGAGACAACCCAATTCCAAGTATTTTACTACTCTGAAGATAAGCAGAAGCTTCTGGTAAATGATAGTTTTCCATTGAAGGTGGTGGTTCCTTTAAAAAAAAAAGGACAGCAGTTTTTGAAAGAGCTTTAAGACTTATACTTTCAGGCTTTTTATCTGACATTTTCTTTTTAGTTTAAACTTCCTGCTACCATATAGTCCTTGTTAGAAAAACAATGGAGAAACAAGTTACTCCTTGAAAGCTGTCTGAAAAGTTCATGTTGAAACCAAACAAATAGTAATTTGTCATAACCTCTATTCCTGAGACATAAAGTGAATGTAAGAGGTTTTCTACCCTTTTAATTGTGCACAAAGCATTCCGCTGCCACAGTGGCATGGGTCTGAAATATTTTTATTTATTGTTCTTTTGCTCAATGAGCTTGAGGCAATGTATACAGATCTCTTAATTTCTTCTACTGTTGGATAGGTTGGGCAGAAAGTGGGTGAGGAGGGGAGGGGAGGGGAGGGGAGAGAACTCAAAGTCATCTAGGGAGCCTCCAAGACTGGATATTTAATCTGGTCTATCTGAATACAGGTAATCATAATACCTCACTGAATATACAGGTAAGTCCTTGATTTAAGACCCACAACTGAAACCAGAATTACAGTTGGTTAGCAAAGCAGTTAAGTCATCATGTGACTGGACCTATTTTATGAGAGTTTAATTAAATAATCTGGTCGCTCCAGTTGCATTTCTTAAAAGCTGCAGTGGCATGGTGGTTAAAATGCAGTGACTGCCAGCTGCCTGCAATTTGACAGTTCAAATCTCAGCAGCTCAAAGCTCAGCCTTCCATCCTTCCAAGGTTGGTAAAATGAAGACCCAGATCACTGGGGGCAATATGCTGACTCTGTAAACTGCTTAGAGAGGGCTGTAAAGCACTGTGAAATGGTATATTTAGTATACAAGACCATCTAAGTCAGGGGTCCTCAAACTACAGTCCTTGGGCTGGATACAGCCCACCGAAGCCATTAATCTGGCCCGCGCGGGATGAGGCTGCCCCCACATATTGCTCCACCCTCCCTCCACCCACAGTTTGGCTAAGCGCAGGCCTTACGTTCACGAGCCCCATGGACTGAAACTGGAAAGTAAGGCCAAACTTTTTGGCCGGCAAAGTGCTTCTGGGGGCCGTGGAGGCCAAAAACAGGATATGCGGAAGCCCTGAAGGGGAAAATACCACCCTCCACCTCAGTTCCTTAACTCAGGCTTCCTTCATCCATCTGTCCCTGGACTCGGTGGGGATCAACCAGTGCGCTCAAAGTGGGCAATCAGCCGCAGTGGCCCTGACGGGAGCCTGGGGAGTAGGTGCCTTGCTGCTGTGGCATTTCAGTGGGGGGTTCAATGTGGGTAGCGCAGCCTCACAGTCCCTGGCCGCCCCCCCACCTGCTGGCAGCCACAGCAGGCAAGGATGCAAAAGGAGTAGCATCCACCAAGGTGCAGGTGTCCAGCAGCAGGGACTCTGCAGCTGGCCCTCCAAGAAACAGGCATGGCAGCAGCAGCACTGGCAGCAAATAAAGGGGGGGGGAGGCACGTGATGCAGATCACCAGACACCCCTGCTCCATCCCATGTGGCTAGAACAGAGCAAGTGACTGTCCGACGCATCCAGCAGGCTGGACCACGTGCCTCTCCCATGTGCCTCTGCCTTCGGCTACTGTTGCTGCAGCAGGTGAAAACAAGGTGAGGAGGGTGTGGGGCAGTTGCTGCCTACTCTGTCCCGTCTCTTTTGACTTGTGGTTGGAGAGCAGGTCGCCACTGGTCATCTTGGCCCACTCGTGGATCTGTGACCACCGAGGCTGCCAGCAGCTCATGCAAGTCCATTAGGCCTCTGCTGTCACCGTCCAGAGCACCAGGTCTGGGGAAAGCTCGTTCCCCATCGGTGCTCTGGCTGCCCAAGCCCAGCTGGGATCGCGTGCCTTCCCCCTCATCTCTGCTGGGCCCTGGCATCCAGGGCTCTGATGGGCATCTGGCTTTCCCAACTCGTGCTGGCCATTTTTAGCCTGCTGAGCCTGGTCGTGCTTTACCACCTCTACTTGGCCTTTCTAGCTGGTCGCTTTGCCTCCTTTGAGCTGGGCGGGTCCGCCGAGCAACGGAGTTGCCATCCAGGAGCTGCCAGGAATAGAGTCCTCTGATGGCATGCCTACTTCACCAGGGCTGCTTGCCAGGGAGCCAAGCCCTGCCCTACCCTGCGAGGCAGCAGCTCCAAAGCACTTTCAGGGCGCTGCATAACTGACACAGCTCCTTCCGACACAGCTCCCGAGGCTGCGGTCCCTTCCCTGGACAGAAGGCAGCCTTCTATCTTGCAGCCCCGCTCCGCCGTATCTCCATTTTGAGCTGATGGCAAGGCGCTGCCTGAACTGGTGCCTAGGGTTTAAAGGCTCTCTTCCTACAGTCTTGAGATGGGTGCCGCTTTCTAACCCGACCCCCACCATGCTTCAGGGAAGCCTGGCTGGGTGCTATGTGTTGGGTCTGGTAGCAGATGGGGAAATGCTGTGTCCTCTCCCACTTCCTGCAGTGCATGCTGGCAAAGCACCCCTCTCATATACCCACAAGCTGCAGTTGGGTGTGCAAGGGGAATACGCTCCACACAGGGGAGGGACATGCGCCCACTGTGCTTGGCCGAAGGGCATGGGAGCAGCTGCGGCCGGCTGACGGAGATGTGATGTTGGATGGACTGACGCGGGTGGGGAGCGCATGGGAGTTGGCGGTGTCAGAACTCTCCTGGCTCTTCCCTGAAGTGCCTCGCATGAGCCAAATCCCGTTCCGAATGCCACTGCTACTCTCCGCCTTGCTCAGGACGCTTGCCCTTCACTGCCTAGTTCCGGTGGGGCAGGCAGAGTTTAATCTCTGCCCCTGGGGAGCACGTTGAGGGGAAACTGGAGTGGCCAGATCCCTTCCAGGATGCCCTCGCGATAGAGGGCCCATCACCCCTACTTTGCCTGTCAGGTGGCAGCAAGGCAACGCCTGCCCTTAGGAAACACCCCCACCTCTGGTCCTATGGATGTTGCCTCTGCTATGGAAAGGCTTGCATGGCAGGAGTAGGAGCCCTGCACTAAGGGTGGTTTTCCTCCTCCCCACTCAAGAAAAGGGTTTTGACGCAGCATTTTGAAAAAGCAGCATTTTAGTTTTCTTAATTGGAATATGCAAGAGTGTCTCCCATGCTCCCCTATCCCTCTTTGTAGGTTTCAGATTGAGTTGATATAGGCTCCCAGATATGGGCTCCCCAATCAAAAGCACGGCTGAGGGGAAGCCAACCTTAATTTCCATAGCCAAATTGGGGGCGTGGAAAGGGAGGGAGATGCAGCCCTTTCTGGGAATGCAGGCCAATCTTTCTCATTTTCCGTTCCCCCACCAATTAAGGGGGCAGGCAGGCTACTATACTTGATAGTCTAGCTCAGCCCAGGAAGGCAGAGGAGGCCAAGAAGGAGCTTGCCTGGGTCTCATGGCTGCTGCTTCAGCCACAATGAAACACATTATCTTGGCAAGGGAGCTATTGGGGAGGGGGTAGAGGAATCAAGCCCAGAGGAGAAGCACTCCTTTTCCTTCTTGTCTATTCTGGCATTGAGCAGCAGTGGAGGGAGAGCAAAAGGAGCCTGTGTTGGTTGGGGGACTTGGCCGGGGAACAGTCCCAAGTATGCAAGAGGTTGCTGCTGAGGGGTGCCTGTTTTCAGGCTCTGCACTGGACATAAACCTGCTCCTTTGCCTCTCTAAGGAGCCCCAGCTCTTGGGCTGAGTCCCTTGCCTCCCATCCACCCAAACCAAGGAGAGACAATGCCTACCCTGGTTTGTTCTACTTGTTGATTGTAAGCTCCTTGGGACTGAGAAGAATTGCTGCAAAACTGAGTTTCCTGAAGTGGACCACTAGACTCCTAAACACCTTAAAAAAATGATCTAGTACAGGGGTCGGCAACCTGTGGCTCCGGAGTCGCATATGGCTCTTTGGGGTCTCTGCCACGGCTCCCTATCCCATCACTGTTGGCTCTGCCCCTCGCCCCTCTTATTTCTTTTTTTGACTCCAGCCCGAAGCAAAGGCTGCCTTATACACAAATGTGGCGCAAAGGCAGGTACAGGGCAGCTTCGCTCCTGCACTATCCTCCCCCCGAGCTGGGAGCGTGCACACATGTGGGGAGACCCTCCTCAAGCGAGCGTCAAAGCACAGCAAAGGTGTGTGCAGGGTAGGCGGCCGCTCGCCTAGGAGGGTCTTAATAGGATGCGGCTTCTCTCCTGCACTAATTATCCGGCCATCACCAGATCTCCTCCTCTCACTCTCATGATGCCCTGGCTGTGGCTGAGCCGGGACCATGTGCACGCATGTGGAGACCCTCCTCAAGGAAGTGGCGAAGCTCAGGAAAGGTGCGTGCGGACGGGCGGTGGCTCGCTTAAGGAGGGTCTCCCCATGTGTGCACATGCTCCTGGCTCAGCCACAGCTGGCCAGAGTATCACGAGAGTGGGAAGAGGAGAAGAGTGCAGGAGCAAAGCTTCCCTGTACCTGCCTCCGTACTACATTTGCACGCAAGGCAGACTTCGTTTCCTGCCGCTTTGGGCTGGAGTTCGCACCCTCCGCTGTGGTGCATCTCCCAGTGGGGGATGAAATGGCAAGGCGATGGCCAGAGCATTAGTGCAGGAAAGAAGCCGTGTCCTGTTAAGACCCTCCTAAGTGAGCGGCCGCCCACTCCGTGTGTGCCTTTGCTGCGCTTTGGTGCTCGCTTGGGGAGGGTCTCTCTGTGCATGCGTACGCTCCTGGCTGAGCCACAGCCGGCCAGGGTATCATGAGAGGAGGGAGGAGGAGGAGGACGGTTGCCCGAAGGAAGGGGGGAGACACAAACACACACACATATACAGAGAGAGAGAGAGAGAGAGAGAGAGAGAGAGAGAGAGAGAGAGAGAGAGAGAGATACACAGAGAGGGGTGCGAGAGGAGAGGGAGAAATACAGAGGGAGAGACGGGGGGGGGGAGAGAGGGAGACCAAATGGTTTTGTGGCTGGGTAGATTTGGCTAGGGAGTCATGTGACTGGGTGGAAGTGAGTGACATTGAGTTGGCCACGCCCACCCAGGTTTTGTGGCTCCAGTGTGTTTTTTTTCTGTGGGAAATGGGTCCAAGTGACTCTGAGTGTTTAAGGTTGTTGACCCCTGATATAGTAAAAAGAAAAGTCAACCAAGAGCAACATGCAATCAAAAGCAAATAAAGTACCCCCAGGAGCAAAACAATTTAAAGTTGAATGTGTGTGTATTGTTTAATGGACTGCTAAATTGGCCATGCCCACCCAGTCACATGACCACATAACCATGCCCATCCAGTCGTATGACAATCTAGCCATGCCCCCCCACCCCGTTAGTCCAGTCCCCCAACAGTCTGAGAGACTGTGAATTGGCCCCTGTTTAAAAAGTTTGAGGACCCCTGATCTAAGTGCTATTGCTTGTCAGACCCTGACTGGGAAAGTTCCAAATCATGATCATGTGACTGCAAGACACTGCAACTGTTATAAATGCAAGGTAGTTGCCAAATGCTCAAATTTTAATCACATGATCGCAGGGTTGATGCAATGATCATAATTTGGGGGGTGGCTTGTAAGTCACTTTGCTGAGGTTGAACCATTGTTAAATGAACAATGAACAAGTACGTTGAGGATTACTTGTGTATCTAATAAAACATAGCCTTGATAATTCAAAATTGTATTATGCCACTAATATGCAAACCTGTATCAGGTAGTCAGCAATGTATTCTGGCTTCAGACAATTCACTCCTTGAGCTGTAGCCTCTCTTATATTAATTCTCACATCTTCTGGCTTTACTTTATTAAGATCAGCAAAAAAATGAGTAACTTCTCTAAAGATAGGTGGAGAATATGCAGATAACACCTGTAGATTCAATCAGGCAGAAACTCTGGTTTATTTATGTAGTGTGTATGGAATTAGTTTTGTCAATTTCAGGAACTAACATGTAGCCTTCAGGAAAAGAACCTGTCAGATTTTTAAAAAATGTACACAGTATTTTGCTGAAATGTTATACAATATTAATGATGGATGATCAATGTCTGCTCATGTGGGTAAGACTCTCATGAGACAATGTATCACATCTGCATTTTGCAATAACTTAACTCTAGATCATAATTACATATTTTTTTTATTTTACAAGTAAATAGTGTGCTCTCCCTTTTCCCCCTGTGTAGATCTGAATGAGTAATGTAGATCTAAATATCTATATGCTAATAAAATTCTTATCATTTAATCAGGCAAATTTGCCATAGGGCAATAATTTTTGAATTATGGTAATTTGATTCAAATAGTCTAACTTACCAAATGTGTCCAAAATCCAGGATCTGGGACTTCTGCCCTGTACCCCCTGATAGTTTGGCTCTGACCTGCATGAGTCCACTCCCAAGCACCCTTCCCAACACATGCCACCCAGTTATGCCATCTTTGACCAGGATGGCCCCTCTCACATAACCCTGAGACCATCCAAGTATTCTTGATTCACGCTATCTCCCCACATGTTCTACCTTACCTGGGGGCACCTCATAAGCACCCATACATCCTACGTGACCTACACTAACCTGAAAACCTTCCCCGATTTACACAGCACTTCTTGGGCACTCCCAGGCATCCTTCCCGACCTATGCCATCCACTCACTCTCTCCTTGATCTGTACTGGATTTCTGGTGCACAACCATTCAACCCTCTCAACTCATGCAGCACTTCTTGTGCACCCCCACATGCCCTTCCTTTTTTACAATTGAAATAATTTCTTCAAATGGAATTCTTTCAATCATAAACAATTATTGAGGTTTAACATATGTGAAAACATTCTTTTTTATTAAAATAGCAATGTTTCCTCACCTATGATTATCAAATATACTGATATCTAAACAATTAAATCTATACACACCTTTGCACCTCCTGATTCTAGAAGACGCTTGAAGCCTGATTCCTTCGCTGGATCAACATTCAAAATAACACTCCAACCACCAAATGCCCCCTAAAAAGGGCAGAAACTTTCATTTATATTTATATGTGAGTTTGGGTGTGCACCAAAATTTTGTCACACTGAAATATTTTTATTTTTTATCATTTACATTTCAGGCTCAGATAGACAGTGCAAGTAAATTCTAAGATTAATTAATTTTAGCAATTTTCAATCAAAAAAGAAAATAGATTAATGTTCTTCCCTGTTCCAATTCAAATCCAAATCACACCTTATTCTTGCACAAGTTATAACAGCATGTGGTTGGAATCTCAAAAGGCAAAAAATGTTCTACCTGACTCAGAGGAAACTGCAGAAAAACTTCAGCAATAGCACCACCCACAAATAACAAGTCAAAGCCTTTGTTACTTCAAACAAAAAAAGGAAATAAAATGAATTACATCTATAGCCCTTCCGTGTTTCAGTACATGGTGCGAGAATACAGTTATTTGATATATGCACTCAAATTGGTCACACACACACACACACACAAAATGTCTCTCAACTGAAAGATTATAAACTAGATCTTCCAAATCATGGCCTGCAAACTCTGAAGTACAGTATTTTTCGGACTATAAGATGCTCCGGACTATAAGACACACCTAGCTTTTGGGGAGGAAAACAAGAAAAAAAAAATTGCCTCTGCCTCCCAGCAATTTGCCTCCTTGCAGCAAACAGCCTGGTGCAGCACGAGCAGCTGATTGGCAGTTGGATCTGCCTTCCAGAATACCACCTATCAGCTGTTCCAGGCTGTGGGGATCGCCACCGCCCATCGCCATCTATCGCTGCTTCCGCAGTGATGCTGCAAGGAGGCAAATTGCTGGGAGGCAGAGGCTGAAGGGTGGGGGCCGGCGGGTGAGCGGGGCTTCGGCAACATTAGCTGTATAAGATGCACAGACATTTCCACCCACTTGGGGGTGGGGGGGAGTGCATCTTATACACTGAAAAATACGGTAAGTCCAAAAATGTTCATTAACTCACAGGTTCTTTCCTTCAGCTCTCTATGTTTCACTGATTATGGTTTACCAAAGTAACAAAGCTCATAAGAAATTTTGTGACTTAAACTTCATTTGGCAATGAATTGCTATCAAAAGTTCCTAATTTAGATACTTGATTGGTCTGAGAAACCGGGGAAATTACACAGAGGAAACAGCACAAACAGAATGATAGGTAACCACAGGATTCCAATCAAAGTTAAAAATCATGCTTCTTAAATCTCTCATTTGGGCATTTATTTACCCAGTATATAACAAAGTGTTTTAAAGTTACACTGGTGTTTTATACTATAGTGACTGAGGTATCCTTAATGATATCTGAGCTTGGTTGTTTTCTTGCAGATGTTTCATTACAGGTGACATCATCAGTGTTGTTGCTAGTTTGGATAATGAAAACAACCAAGCACAGAGAGCACCAAGGACCCCTCATTTCAACCCTGAGCTACAAATATTCTCCTTTATTAGTACTATAGTGATTGTACAAGTACTATAAATTGTTATTTGGGAGTGAAGGTTGTGTCTTTGAGTCAGTGTTGACCCTTAGTGACTATCTGGACTAATTCCTGCAGTTTTCTTGGCAGAATTTTCATAAATTCATGCACTATCCATCAATAAAACAGTAATTTGAGTAAATTAAAATGGAATAATATTTCTGTTAGATGAAATATACCTCTGTCCGCAAGTTACAACCCATGATGTTTGTGTGTAAATACCTCAGCAGAGTTGTTTTGCTCTCTCCGTTGTTGTATTGTTTTTCTCCATCTCATTGCTGCAACTGCTAACTTCTTCTGAACTGTATTGATTCCAGTCAGTACACTAAGTATAGAGTTGCTTCCCCACTCATAATCTTCCTCCTATAATGATACAGGTAATCCTCCAGTTACTACAGTTCACTTAGTGACTGTTAGAAGTTATAACATAACCCCTCCAGTACTTATGACACAGTCCCAAAGTTATGAATGTTGCAGCACTGCAGCTGTTGTTTACACTTATGAATGACCACAAAGGCACTGCAACATTTGCCCTGCCTAAAGTAGTGCAAGATCCTAGCCCCCAGAAGCTTCCAATCTCAGCGTGAAAAGTGTTTGCAAGCTGATGGGAGGCTTGAAGCAATGTGATTTCACTGCTCCAAGTCTCGTCAGCTTGTAAATGCTTTTCGCACCAAGACTGCAAGCAAACAAACCGCAGCAAAGAGGCTGGAGAGGAGACACCTTGCTTGATCTTCATAAGGTAAGTGATCTAGTGCAGAATGGGAGAGGGAACAATTGTGGGGACCACAGGGGAGGAAGCATGAGATAACTCAGTGGGTCAGGGGAGGCCTTGGGTGGTCTGAAGCAGGTGGACTGTTCCATTGCTAGGCCCCTCATGGCCTTCCCCACCTGAGATACCTCATGTGCACTTAACGACCTGCGCATTTGATTAGCCAATGCATGGGTGAAAGCAAGGAATGATTATGTGATTCAGTCCAACAAATCCTGTAATTGGCAGGCTCCATTACATTCCTAATTCAAGGATTACATGTATTTAATGTAAACATCGGTCTCCCCTTCTGCAGCTCCAGCCGTCAGGCTCTTCTCTTCCCCCCTCATTTTCTGCCAGAGTGAGGACCCTGCTCCCTAGGCTGCCTTGCAAGACACCTGATCCCACTGGGGCTATCCTAATCCCCTTCTCAAGGCCTCCACCAATGGAAGAAAAGAAGCAAGGAAAGACTAATGTGAAGTGCTCGGTTAGAGAGGACTGGAGCATTTCTCCACGGCGGATGGGCGACACCGAGGTTGTGGGCCCGTCAAGCAGTGCCATAGACAGCCCTCGCTTGGCTGAGTCCTGAATTAACTGCCTTAAGTTGGCTACTGTGGTAAAGTCATCCCACAGTATGAAGCTGTTAATAGCCTAATAAGAGTGCCCAGCGTGTTGTACAAACTAAGCATTTCGGTCATTGCCAAGTCAGAATATCAATAAAGTATATTAGAATCATAATTTACTCTCTGAAAAAAAGGAGGATAGATGGATTATTTCAGTTATCATCAATAACTCTGTATAATTTGTAGAGTTTAAAACAATTGTTGAATGTTGTTTTAATATAATATAAAACAAGATAGAAATGAGGATAGAAAAATTCCCTCACCCTCCCCAACGAAACCCAAGATATATTCTAATGGTTCTAGCACTTACAATTAAGAGTCTTTTTACCAAAAAGGCTAATAAACACACTAGCTTTTAATTTCTGTAAATCATCCCTAAATCCATAAATTCTCAATCGTGGCTAAATTGATAGGGATGTTAGCCATTGTTTGCCCATGTGTAAAAGGACCTGAAAATATTCATCTGATTGTGCTATGCAACAGACTTCTTTGACAGTCCACAAAAAACAGGCCTGTTTTTCACAAAAACAGGCATGCAGAGGCTTTGGGAGCCTGCAGAGTGCTCCTGTGGGCTGTTAGACGGAGCATCGCAACCAGGAATATTTGGTGTTTTAAGAATAGATGAAGTGGGCCATACACTTGTTAGAAAGATGAATGGGAAGGCTGTGTTTGATTTTGGGGTTCAAATCCTCTATTAATGTTGCCCAAATGTATTTGGGGACAGAGTGCCATCAACAAGATTCCCTCTTTGAGGGAGATGGACAGTTCAGAAATGTAAAAACATAATTAAATAAAATTATGTTTGAGGTGGGCCCGAAATTATGAATATCAAAAGTTGTTTGTATCATTGAAAGCTCTGTTATTGTGTTTTTCTTTTAAGACAAAGATGTTAATGTATGAGTTGCTTTTTCTAAACTAAAACCTCAGTATTCAGGTTAAATTGCTCTGTTGGCACTTTGTGATAAATAAGTGGGTTTTGGGTTACAGTTTGGGCATTCGGTCTCTAAAAGGTTCGCCATCACTGTTCTAGAGTGTATACTAAAATATTAATGAATTTTAAACGGCCTTAATAATGTTGAATACCTTTACAAAGCTGTGTGCTGCTCTGCATGCTTCCAAATAGGAACGATGAAGCACCCATTTTCCTGCTGCCATTGATGCCAAGAATTTCTCATTGCGAAGAGGCTGTCCCACAATTGTATGTGTGCAGCTCGAATCAAAGCATTGCTTCTCCAACACCACTCCCCCTAAGGAATATATTTTTGTATTGTTATTTTAAATCAGAATTCCTTCTGTAGGAAAAGCAAATTTAGGAATTTAAGAATTATTCAGTAAAGCAGTTCAAAAGAAACATGATTCAACATGTCTCTATAAGGAATGCAATGAATCAGGATACAGCACTCCAAAAATTCTTTGAATCACCTACCTAGTTCTTCAATTAGCTGGTAATAATTAATTCGTTCCTGAGGATTAAGAGAAGAGAGCTGAAATCTGTGCATTTTTGTTGGTTCTTCATAGTCCCTTTGGTCAATTTTAGTGACCTGAATATGAAATAAAGGAAAAATAATTAAAGGGTGAATAGGATGCTTTCTCATTAACAATATCTTCCTACATAAAAAATTCTTGCATATATTTAGCAAGCCATCTGATGTACCATATTTTTCGGACTATAAGACACACTAGTGTATAAGACACAACAAGATTTCGAAGAGGTAAGCAAAAAAAAAAAAAAAAAACTTTTTGCCCTCTCTGGCCCTCAGGAGCACTCTGCAGGCCTCCCCAAACTCTCTGCGGGTCCCGTTTTTTGCAAAAACGGCATGTGCAGAGGCTTTGGGAGGCCTGCAGAGTACTCCTGGGAGCTGGGAAGGGCAAAAATGTGATGCATTGGGGGTTTGGGAGGCCAAAAACAGGCCTGTTTTTCACAAAAATGGGGGCATTTTTGCCCTCTCCAGCCTACAGAGGCATTCTGAAGGCCTCCCAAAGCCTATGTGTGCCCCATTTTTTGCCCATTTTTGCAAAAAAAGGGACATTTTTGCCCTCCCCAGCCCACAGGAGCACTCTGCAGGCTCCCAAAGCCTCTGCATGCCCTGTTTTTGTGAAAAACAGGCCCGTTTTTTGCAAAAAGAGGACATGCGGAGCAGGGTTTCAGGAGGCTAAAAATGACTATATTTGGTGTATAAGATGCACCAACATTTCCATGCTCTTTGGGGGCGGGGGGGGGGAAGTGCGCCTTATACTCAAAAAAGTACAGTAAATTTAGAGTAAGTTATCTAACTTAAATTATCATGACTTCAGTTTGAGTCCTTTAAGAAGCAGGTTATCAAATCCCTTTTTCTATATATTTCAGTGCTGCTATATTGTCATTTATTACACTGCCACAATTTAGTATATAATAATAATAATTATAACAATAACAGTAATTTGTGATACATTTTTAAATGTTCAGTTGACTGAGTTTCATATTTAATGAATAAAAGAGATAATAATAATAACAATAACAACAACATCTTGAATGGGAAAGTAAAAGAATCAACGCAAACGGAATACATCAGGAGGGTCTGTAAAATATTAAAATCAAAGCTGAATGCTGGAAACATATTAAAGCCATCAATACATGGGCAGTTCCAGTGATACACTACTCAGCTGGAATCATCAACTGGACTTTGGCTGAACTGGAAAACTTGGACCGGAAAAGACATAAACTTTTGAATATGTACCAGGATTTACATCCACAAAGTGAGATTGACAGGTTGTACCTGCAAATCCATCAAACTGTAGAAGAAGAAAAACGAACCAAAGTACAGGAAAAAAAAAAAAATTGCTGCAGGCTGTAAAAAGGGAGAACATTATAAAAACAACAGAAACAAAGGCAGAATATAAGGAAAAACAGCTGGATGACAGATTAAATATTTATTTATTTATTTATTTGGTCGCATTTCTATGCCGCCCAACTCCCAAGGGACTCTGGGCGGCTTACAACAAAGAATAAAACAATGCGAACAATCCCATAAAAAATGTTAAAAAGAAAAACATTAAAACATTAAAAGCTTTAAAAACACATGCACTCCAATTCGTGGCCGGGTCTCGCAAGATCATTATAACGAGATCAACAGCCCAGGCCTGCTGGAAGAGCCAGGTCTTCACCGCTTTGCGGAAGGCCAATAGGGTGGGGGTGGTCCGGACCTCAGGAGGTAATTGGTTCCAGAGAGCCGGGGCAGCCACAGAGAAGGCCCTCCCCTGCGGGCCCACCAGCCGACATTGTTTAGTTGACGGGACCCGGAGGAGACCGACTCTGTGGGATTTTACCGGTCGCTGGGAGCTATGTGGTAGAAGGCGGTCTTGAAGATAGCCTGGCTCTGAGCCATATAGGACTTTAAAGGTAATGACCAACACCTTGAATTGCACCCGGAGACTAATAGGGAGCCAGTGCAGCTCGCGGAGAATTGGTGTAATGTGGGTGTATCTAGGCGCACCCACTATAACTCGCGCAGCTGCATTCTGGACCAACTGTAGTCTCCGAACACTTTTCAAGGGTTGCCCCATTTGGAGCGCGTAGCAATAATCCAACCGTGAGGTGACAAGGGCATGAGTGACTGTGAGGAGAACCTCCTGATCCAAGTAGGGTCGCAATTGGTGCACCAGATGAACTTGTGCAAAGGTCCCCCTAGCTACAGCTGTCAGATGATGTTCCAGTCTCAGCTGTGAGTCTAGAAGGACACCCAAATTGCGAGCCTGTTCTGAGGGGGGCACTTTCTCGCTCCCCAGAACCAAGGATGGACAATGAACATAGTCTTTAGGAGGCAATACCCAAAGCCATTCGGTCTTGTCTGGGTTAAGTCTGAGCCTGTTGAGTCCCATCCAGATCCTCACAGCCTCCAGGCACCGGCACATCACATCTACTGCCTCACTGAACTGATGAGGGGTGGAGATACAATCATGGCCGTAAATGTTGGCACCCCTGAAATTTTTCCAGAAAATGAAGTATTTCTCACAGAAAAGTATTGTAGTAACACATGTTTTGCTATACACATGTTTATTCCCTTTGTGTGTATTGGAACAAAACCAAAAAAGGGAGGAAAAAAAAGCAAATTGGTTGGAGCGCCCGGCGGTGATGGGAAGAAGACGTTGTCAGGTGAATGGTGGCATAGCCCTGCTATTTCTGAGGCAACGAAGATGGCGAAGCCCCGCCCAGGAGATTCTGCTTTCCAAGGGTGGCGGGAGCGATATTGGGTGGAAGAGGATGATGCGGAGTGGAGTTACTCCACAGGACTGGGGTCTACCATGCTTGAAATTTTAAGAGAACGGTTTGGCGAAGCAAGTTTCCGAGATGCTCCTTCGTGGAAACCCTGGGCCACTGGATTGGAAGCTCCAGCATCCTGGCAGGGAGGGGGTTTGTCCCGGAGTTTGGATAGCCGTTTCCAGTTGGCTAGCCCAAAACTGCGAATAGCGAGGACTCGGACTAAACCATCGGAACCTCTGGCCACCACCACCACCACGTCATTGGGAGAGGCTCTCAGGAGTTTAGACCAGGGGGTCCCTAGCCGGCAAGGCTTAGGTGGCACCGGCTACAATGGCCCCAGACAGCAGGAAGGGCCACGAAGAGGGGATGGGAGGGACGCCCAGGAACACCCACCACCTCCTGGCCCATCCCCCCTCTGGGTAGCAGGGAATTGGCCCCAAAGACTGGTCTGGGGACCTCCACCCATACAAACCACATTCGATGGAAGCGCTGATTGAGTGTCCATCTTCTTGAGCCAGGTGCTTAGTTATCTAGACCTGTATGCACCTGTACCCCTCCCAATGGTCCATGGTAGTTGCCATAACCAATGTGTTAACGGGTCGCAGACCTCCACACCGACCATGCCAGAGAACTGGTTGATGTGAGTCTCTTTTTAGAGGCATTAAGGAACCGATTTGAGGATGACACCCGCACCCAGGTGGTGGAGGGGGTGTTGGTTTCATTAAGGCAGAAGGGCCGATCTGTCAGAGTATATCAAGGAGTTCCGAGCCCTCGCAGGACGCCTGCGAGCCTGGCCAGAACGGCTGCTAGTGCACCATTTTCGGTTGGGATTGGATAGGGACATCAGACAGGCCTGTGTTTACAGAGGCTTGCCGCCCCGGATAACGGAGTGGTTCAAGGCGGCCACAGACCTAGATGTGGATTTGCGGGAATTCAGGTCCCGGGGAGGGGACGGTGGTCAGCAACGACGACAGGTGGACAGACCGTCGCCCGGCAGGGAGACAGGTACTGGATGGAATGGTCCCTTTCCTCTCCGTTCTTCAGAACCAGCAGGCAGAGGTGTATTTCGTTGTTTCCGCTGCGACCAGCCAGGACACCAGGCTCTTGATTGCCTTTTACCCTCTATTCAAGCTAAGATACCACCGATAGGGATGGCACGCACACTGAGGGGCCGCGGCCGTCCGGGCACAGACCAATCCCGGTTGGCTGCCCAAACTCCACGTGGCAGTCCACGGTCTACTGAAAAGGAGGCGACGAGTCCCAGTGCACCTGAAGGAAATCCCGTAACCATCAATGATGATGAGGAGAGCGACCCGAATAACCCCATGGTAAGTGCGCCGATATGTCCCTTTATTATATCAGTCATGATACAGAACCCATGTACCTCTCAAGTGAGTCACAGGGGAGCATTGATAGATTCTGGTTGCACCAGATGTTTAATTAGCTGAGCGATAGTCAAGGATCTGGGGTTATGCACAGTGCAATTAAGAACCCCGATAAGGTTCGAACAAATGGATGGCTCTGTACTGGGGGGGGGGCGTCCAAACTCATTACTGAACTCGTAGTTACAAATAGGGGATCACAGGGAGGCCCTGCGTTTTATCATAATGGAACGGATGGTGGAACCCCTTATTTTGGGCTTAGCATGGTTGGACAAATGGAAGCCCCATATTTGATGGGAGGGGGGGGCGTATCGGAAATTACAGCTGGTAGTGGGTCCAGAGCCAGAACCTGAGGAACAGATGGAACAAGCCGGGGGACAGAACGAGGGCTCGTGTGGATTCCCAAAGGTGTATAACCATCTCAAAAGGGTTTTTAACGAAGAAGAGAGTGAGGTATTACCACCCCATAGACCAACAGATTGCGCTATCAAACTGATCCCAGGGGCTAAACTGCCGAAACCCCGGATGTATGCTATGACACCGGCCGAGATGGAAGAACTTCGACGGTATATCGATAAAAATCTCGCAAGAGGGTTTATCAAACCTAGCAGATCACAGTTGGCGGCCCCTGTGAGGTTCAGGGAAAAGAAAGACGGAGGCCTGCGTCTTTGTGTCGACTTCCGGGGATTGAATGCAGTGTGTGTGGAATACCTATACCCTCTACCTTTGATTAAGGACCTCCTGGCCGTATTGTCCACCGGACGAGTTTTTACCAAACTCGATTTGTGTGAGGCCTACTATCGTGTGCGCATACGTGTGCGCATACGACAAGATGAATACATACCAATACATTTTTTCTTCTTCTGCGCATGTCCAAGATGGCGCTCCGGCGTTGAATCTCGGATCTTCGGGGGGCGAT